AACAGTCCAATAAGGAGGAAGCTAAAATGGCTGTGAAGACAGTCTAATGCGTAGCAAGGCGAGCCTCAGCCTGGACGAGGTCGACAGGCACAAGGTTGATGTGACGGCGGCGAACGGAGCATGATCCTCGAACGCACCGGATCGCAGACCTAGCAAGAGAGAAAGCCAAGCAGCAGCGCATCCAGCAAACGACTTTGCTGTAGCTCTCCTTGCGCTTAGAAGCCAGAGCATCAGCAATCCGCTTGACGACGATGGCTGCCTCTGGACCCATTCCGCAGCAAGAGGAGAAGACCAGTGGTGTGAACGAGCCATGTTCAACTTGGTTAACTCTTTCGCCATACTCCCGCTTCTTGGCACCTTCCAACTTGCGATAAATAGATGCAATGGGCTGGGACCGATAGCTCGCTGCGTGGGGATAGAACACCCTCGTATCGAAAAATGCATTGCGGCTATGGTTCCAAAAGCCCCGCACCCGGATGTCCGCTCGCGCATCGGGCTCAACATTGGCAGTACGATAGCGAAAGGCTTCACCGGTGATGGGTTGGAGTGTCGGCTCAACTTCCACATCGTTGTGGATCGCTTTCATGCATGAGGCTAGGAAATTGGTGACCTCATCATGGCGCATGTGAATGAAGCCCGACAGCTTACATATCTGGGCATGGTCCACAGTGAACCGCTCTCCACAGGGACAGGTATCCGGCAGCCTATCCAAGGGCCAGCCATAGCGCAGGTGGACATGATCATGGAAATCGGCTTTCGCGTCGAAACACAGCCCATGTTCCGATACTGGGATGGACGTGAGCGTACTAGAGCCTCCCTTCTCTCTGGCTAATGACATGGCTCGCTGTTGGAGTGGCGGCAGCCTGCTCTGCACCTCATTAGCTCTGGTTGTTGCGGATGCTCGGTTACGCTGGTGAACAACTGCCTTTTGCTCTCGGTCGTGCGCAACACTATCCATGACATCAGCGTCTGGTTCGTTCTTCACAATCTGCTCTGTGAGGTGCGCTGTGCATTGCAGTGAGTCCGCATGCTTGCGTTCTGCTTCGGCCATTGGATCATCAAAGGACATACCTCCTAACCGAGTCGGGAGCTTGACCAAATCCATCTCCACATCATTCAGTTGATGCTTCATCAAAGCAGGGATCAGTTTGCTGTCGATGGCCTCCTTCAGAGGGTGCAAGTGGTCCCCGGCTGTCGGCATCGTGCGCTGGATGAACGTCCAGCGATGGCGTAGCCCGAAGACATACCCAGCGTACGCGGCATGCGGGTGAGTGGCAGCAAGATCGGAAAGACGGGTCACCTCTCCGGCCCATGCTGTAGCCTTCTCATTCAGGTAGGCAGCGATGTAGTCCGTAGACCCGACAGCAGCTCCAAGATGACGTTGACCGGCCTTGTGGGCCAAGTTTTCGCCCTCCTCCGACAGCTGGATGCCAGTGCCTCCAAACACCCTCTCTGCTTCTGCTCTGCTCTCTGGTTTGACAACGAGGTGGGTTTTTGATGGCTTCGGAAAGTATCCATAGGCCGGCCCGTGTTGCACAAGCAGATCCCAGAACTGTCGTAGCGCCTTCAATTTCCCGCCTGCTGCTGCATCATCAGCAAACCAAACTTGGATTGCTCTGATTAGCTCTGATACATCTTGGGTCGTTCCCATTGCTTCGTTGCACTTAGCGATCAGCGGCACCACACTTAGTGCGTACAGTGCCATAGACAGTGGGCATCCTTGGGTGGTACCCTCGTCTGACGACAGCTCCATACCTCCTGTGACAAATAGACGTGCGGGCGCCCGGTAGAAATTCCTCACAATGGTAGCAAGGGCAGGGCAAGTGTGACGGATGTTGTGTAGCGCTGCTGCCCTATTCAGCCGGTTGAACGCATTGTCGGCGTCGACCAGCATCACCGCTTCTGTTGCCATTGAGGTGAACACTTGTCTCAGGGCATGGATAGCCGCTTCACATCCTGCGGGGTGTCCTGCACAAAGTTGGGAAGCCCCAGCAGCGGTAGTGATGTCATCCTTGAGGAGTGTCATCATAGATTTACCAATGATGCGCCCTCAGAACTTCTCCTATCCCCACGGGTCGAACTCCTGGGTTTTTGTCGAGTGGTATCAGGCGATTGTTGAGGATTGGCTGGAGTCCTCGTGGGTCAACGGCCTGTGTGGCTAGGTGTCGAGCGACGCCTGCAACTGCCTCGCACAACTCGGTTGATGCCGCCTTGAAAGAGACCAGCATGCGCCGCCATACATACGCATCACCCATAGATGGACCCGCTGCACCCTGGGTAGCCAGCGCAGTCTTGTGCACTACTTCCCCTGTGAGGCCTGCGAACATGATGGGATTGACGGCAGGGATCTCTCCTTGTATCAGTACTTCAGGATCTGCTGGCCGTGCTGCTGGGTGCTTCGACGGGAGAGTCTCACGCACTTCTGGACTAAGAGCTAGAACGCCACCTTTGCCGTGCTCCGTGATGAGCGAAATGGCAGCATGGATGTCTCCTTTGCTGATGAGTGCGGAGAAGCGTCGACTGAGGTTGTGATCTGTAGTGCCTCGTTGTTTGTCGCGTTCCGGCAACCTGGCTTGAATGGTGCTGGCTTCATCAAGGAGCTCTCTGATGTTACCCGCTCTCCATAGGGCCATACGCCGCATCAGGTGGTGATTGAACTCCTTTGCGCCCGCTTTCCCGTGCGGCTTTTGCAGCAGAAGACCAGGCATTACCATTAGTGCTTGAAGAGCCACTCGCTCCAGGGGGGTTCTATCCTTGTACGCTCTCAACAATCGGGTGTGCTCCTTCACATACTCAGTACCAGCATGGCCACTTGGAGGTGAAAACGTGTTCTTCCGCCATTGTGTTTGTTTCTCATAGGCACCCGCTATCTCTCTGCAAAACTCTTCCCCACAAACCTCAGCCCATTTGAAAGGCGTGGTGGACATTGGGATGAATTCCGGCGGGTCTAAAGCGGCCACCGAATCCCCCTGAGCGTCCCGCGGCGGGGTAGCTTGAGTGTTCGTGAGTGTGGTCAACAAACGGACATCAGCTTGCATGGAGTCACTGAGGTCCGCATCCGCCTGAGCTTCACCATGGCCTGAGTGTTGCGGGTCCATCCCAGGGCCGCTCCTACCCGTGTCCTGATTACCAGCACCTTCGAGCATGTCCCACGCTAGCTGTTGCGAGTCGGAAACACGCGCTGAAGGATCAGCGTCGACTCGTGACACCCTCGCGGTGAGTTCCTCGGCCGTAGCTGCTCCCGTCGGTGCGGTACGATCACTCCTGGGTTGTACAGCTACAGCTACGGTAACGGAATTCTGACATTTCGAATTCCGGCTTGGCGTGCAATTCGTGCACGGGCGTTTCTCCTTCACACACCTACAATTTCGACAAGTGCCGCTGCCATTACACCGGCAGCATTGGCCCTTAGCAGCAGTCTGACCACCTGGTGGCCCCATCATTCTGTCTGCCATTCCGTCAAAACATTGTGCGAACAAGCGTTGCCAGGCTACTCAACAAAATCCGTTCGGAGGCATGGTTCATTTACACGGTATGAGGAGCAAAACGTAAAAGTTGTACACCAAAACGGAAGAAAACCGAAACGCTGGCCAAGGTGGAAGAATTTGAAAACGGAAATGTTCTGCCGGATAAATTTGGGTGTGTAAACAGTCAAAATATGCTGGCCTCGTTTTCCGTCACGTGTGTTTCGTTTTCGGCCGTTTACACGGATCTGACAATCAGAAAAATTGTTTTTATATTTGTCGTCATGCGACGAGTATTGTTTTGTGGCCTGTTTTCAACTATTGCTCGAGTGTGATTGGTGCTTCCACGACAACACTTGGCACATGACGAACTTTTGCGGATCCTTTGCTCCCTTGCAGACGCGCGGAAACGATACAAACGGAGACCACCTCGGGTCAGCCTTGATCGTGTAAACCTGTCCCTTTGGAAAAACGCGGCCAAGAATTCAAAATTCTGCGGCAAATTCCGCGGGGTAAAGAGGGGTTTTCTGCGGCATTTTCTGCTGTAAAATCAAAAATCTGCGGCACTTTCTGCAAGTTTTTCACCCTCCTCGTAGAGGATATGAAATCTCCTCGTAGAGGATATGACAACTAGTCGCATGAAGGAGCACTTTTCATACTATCCTTTGCAGTCACAAACTGAATAAGAATGAAGAATCTTGGAGAGACCTGCATTGGCAAGAGAAATGTGCTCCAACAGATCGCAAAGTAGTTTTTCTGCTGCTTTCTGAGTAATAATTTTAGTAATTTACCCTAAAAAATTCAGATTCCGCGGGCAAAAGTGTGGATTCCGTGATTTCCGCGGATGATGGCAACTTCTGCGAAATTTGCCGCGGCCGCGGAATCGCGTCCAACTAAACGCACGAAAACGAAAAAAGAAATGCGGGACTGAAAACGGAAAACTGGCCGTGCGTTGTCGTGTAAACGCAGGCTAAAGCCCGCTGAGTATACTCAGGTGCATACAACTTCCTGTACGCAATAGTACGGTGCAGATAATGAACTCTGCATAAAATGTACGGTGTACTACTAAAAGCTACGCATTCCAGAAGTGTGTACGGTTTTTGCCTCCCGATTTTTTCTCCCGTTTTTGCCTCCCGTACTCTTTCATCTGTACGATTTTCCTTTGTCAACAGCTGGCGAAAACCTATAAAACCGCTCCACAAGCTATAAAAAGAATGAAGCTCGCAATAAGAGCCCAGCATTTCATTTATTTCTTTTCTACTTTTAGTAGTGCTCAGTGGTGCTGCGGTACCAGAAGAAAATATTCTATCGTACCACACCACTCCTCTCTGCACACAAACCACGAAACCACCCAATAGAAGGGTACACAAGCATAATGCAAGTGAGATAACGAATGTAACCTCGTTCTAAAATAGCTAGTGCATGGCAAGGAGGGCCTTATGGCTTGTTTGTGCCCTCAGGTTAGCCCTCGGGCCTGCGGCCCTCAGGCTAACCTGTCGGGCACTAACAAGCCATAAGGCCCTCCCTGCCATGCACTAACCTTTAATAGAAATCAGATATTTTCTGCAAAAGAAGGGTGTTGAACTAGACAAATGCAGAGCGAATAGAAGCTTCTGGAACGGTGCAAGGAAATACATCGTGAATGGATGGAAGGGTGGAGCCATCTTCTAGGACTTCCTTTGCAACTACTTGGCTTCGAAGTAATTGCATAGTGAAGGAATCTACTGAATAAGATGCAAACAAGGAAAACCGAAAAAGAAATCAGATTATTCTGCAATGAAAGTTTTGCAACTCAGCGTGAGCAGAATAAAGGCGATGTTCTGAAACGGTGAAAGGGGAGAGGGAATACATGCATTATGAAGCTGCATCAGAACCAATTCTTGATATGCCTCTAACTGCAGGGGAAGAGAGAGAGAGAGAGAGAGAGAGAGAGAGAGAGAGAGTAAGTTACATTTATAAAGACAGGTAAGTCTAACAAATGAGGACTGAGACCTCGACAACAAGGTTTTTACGCCTGAAAGCAGGTGCATGATTTAACAAGCAGGTTGTCAGTCTAGATTTTATGCGCAGATGGAGAAAAAGCGCAGAATTTTTGTAATGAGATGAAAAGCAGAAATAATAAGAAATAATAAGAAAAGATGAAATGAAAGCCTGCTCACAACCCCGCCCAGCCTTGCGAACTGGGTATGGTGGATTAAGAACCCGGTTCAACGCTCGAGCAAGCGCTCTCCACTCAAGGTGTTCACAGCAACTGATAGGAACTCATATGGGGAAATTATAGAAAGAGAGAGAGAGAGAGAGAGAGAGAGAGAGAGAGAGAGAGAGAGAGAGAGAGAGAGAAAGAGAGAGAGAGAGAGGGAGAGAGCATAGACACGGTGCATGCACAGTCATGAGTACAATGCCAAATTGTGTGTTACTTTAACCCATGTCCTTTAGCAAGGGTACCATAAAAAGCTACGCATTTCAGAAGTGTGTACGTCTTTTTTGCCTCCCGTACTCTTTCATCTGTACGATTTTCCGTTTTCAACAGCTGGCGAAACCCTATAAAACCGCTCCACAAGTTATGAATAAGAATGAAGCTCGCAAAAAGAGCCCAGCATTTCATTTATTTCTATTCTACTTTTAGTAGTACCAAGAGTACATAACCCCCCAGAGTGTGCAACTCCCACATACCCTGCTGTCCCGACAGAATTTCAAGTTGACGTCATTATTTATGACGCAATGCTCCTTGCACCAGTGATTTACAACATGTGTACGGGTGTCAACGCATCACACGTTTTTCTTTGCAATAATTTGTACAGGATTGATCGGCTTCGGTCAACCACAGGTTCCGGATTCGTCTGATAATCCGTGTACAGTGCGCATTGCATCATCAAAATGACGTCAACTTGAAATTCTGTCGGGACAGCACCCATAGTGGAGTTGCACACTCTTGGGGGGTTATGCACTCTTGGTAGTTCTCAGTGGTACATCACCAATCCTCTCTGAGTTTGCAACTCATGCCGCACACAGTGGTATAAATGCAGACATGTTACAAGTGTCTACAAGTACTGCCTCAGGACTAGCCGTTTGTTGACAAAAAGCTGGAATTTCCCGAAATTGTCCGCTATGAAACTTGAAATGCAGCTCAAATCTCACAAGAGGCTCGTTTTATGCCTTTCTAATGCTCCATAATGCTCTGACGCTCGGATAGTCTCATATTGGCAAATACAATGCCGGCATTATCCGCTAGATCCCAAGGCTGTGTTTACATGAGAAATTTCAACCCGGGTCGAGTTCAGCCCGGGTTTAAAGTCTGTACGATAGACAAAATACGCGAGCGTTTACATGAAGACAGTTGACCCGGGTCAAATACTGATATGCCGCCAAAAGTCCACTTCTAGAGTCCTGTACGGTCACGTGAATCCGTTCGCGCGAAATTTGCATGTGCAGTGCTGTTCAAACCTGGTGCGAGATACGCACAGAAGTACGTTTGTGCGATTTCAACCCGGATGAAGCGCAATGCGTCATATAAACGTGCCATTCATTTTGTGTACATGGCGGATTGAAATCTGACCCGGGTCGAACTCAACCCGGGCTGAAACGCCTCATGTAAACACAGCCTGACAGGAACAGGCTGTAAGTTGGTATCGTGGCAAGAGTCGGGGCTTTGCCAACTGATGATTGTAGCCTGCAGTGACAGTGACCAGGTGACACATCTGCACGTGACCGCTTACTCGACTGTGTTCGATTTGGAAGGAGAGTCGACTGGTTTTGGGCCGAGAAGGCTGCGATGCAGCGATCGGCCCTTGTTCCCAAAGACTACAACATGTGGGCCAATCTCACTCATCCGTGCTTTTATAAGAACAAAATGGTGCTTTCAGCGACATGTTGCATGCAGTTAGTATTACCAAGAGTACATAACCCCCAAGAGTGTGCAACTCCAGCTATGGGGTCTGCGACGGCAGAACTTCACATCACGTGATGAACCCGTACACATTATTTGCACTCTGTGCATGATGGATACAGGGTTGTACGCAGCCCAGCTTTGGGTACAACTCTCTTGTGATCACTTTGCACTGTTTGCCAGTGTAACCTTTTGAACCATGTCACGCGATGTGAATTTCTGCCGTCGCAGCACAGCATTGTGGTTGTGCAGGCAGTTGCACACTCTTGGGAATTATGTACTCTTGACATCACCTATAGCGTTGGTGTTTGATTTGGAGCATTTTATCACTATATTAAAGCGATATATTGATATGACCGATAATGCATGCAATGTATGCGAGTGGGGTGTCAAATGACTCGGGGTGCACTGCATAGCTGCCTACAGCTCCTGACACGCAGCATCAGCAATTCCTCACGATGGAGGCATATTTGGCAACTACTTATACTGTGGAAGCAGAATTCACCAAACAAGACTGGACAAGTTCTTCACGAAGAAGTAACACCCTGTTCTCCTTTGACGCCTCTTGATTTACATCAATCACTATACCCGATGCAAATATAATGTAAAAGGTCTTTTGAAATATGAATTTAATCTCTAATATTATTACTATAGACAATTATTACTATACACGATGACTGTGTATACTTAGTTATGGCAATTGAAAATGAATTTGAGAAATCGATCACTATAGCCGGTATATTACTATAGCCGCCAACCTTATAGGCGATACTGACTGTATTATATCCCCTTCTACAGTCCATTCATGAAAAATGGTGAAATCCTAGCTTTTGGCCATAAATGGGTCGAATTTTGAGCTTTTTTCTCAATTTTTGACTATCCCCCATGGAATTCTTTTCCAATTCTGTTTCTGAAGTCTATTTCTCCCAAATTAACAAGAACAGGATTTTGGCCATGTTTTCCCCGAAGTTGTGGAAAAACCATGCAAACCCAAGCCGTTCACTCCACTTGCATAGCCACTCCACTTGTGGTTCGAACCCCATTTGAGGTACTTTTTCGGGCCCCTTTTTCGTTTCAAATGTCCCAGCACCTCGCAGTGTACGACAAAATCACGAAAATCACCAAACAAGGGAGCTAAGGGACCATCGCAAAAGTTCGCAGAAGCCCCTGAAACGAAGAGCATACGTTTGGGGGGGGGGGGGGGAGGGAGTCGGTGTCGATAATCGCAAACCGGGCTTCAATTCAAAAAAGTATTGCTCAAAGGATACAACTGCATAGCTCTAGCTGTTCTCGTTCTTAGATCACCCACTGCAAGGTGATATCATCGTTGCATTTATAAAGTGCTGTACATTGTTACACACTGATACAACAATGCTTGTGTAGTATATTATAATAATTATTATGTGTGAGCATCCAAGTGAAATAATGAAGCCCATATTGTGACTGTCGTTTCGTTTGAGGGGGGAGGGAGGGGGGTCAGGCCCAAAACTAACGGTCTTCGTTTCGGGGGCTTCGCCGAACTTTTGCGATGGTCCCTAACTTAGCCAGAGCCAGCGCTCATCTTTTTCTGAAATTGACTGAATGGACTGTAGTAGGGTGCACTCACCCAGTTTCGGTGGAAGTGCGAGAGTTCGATTGGGAATAAAGGAGGAAGGGAGCGTCTCAGCTTCCTCGGACCAAGACCTTTCGACTCGGGGAGACTACGAGCAGTGACACGTTGCTTATAGCATTTCCCCTGTTAATTACATCACGTAGACCATTATAACCACACTTACCTAGTGCCGCACCTCTCTTTTTTCATTTCCATCCAGTAATCACATCCGTGATTGAAGTATATTTCCCGAAGAGGCGGAACGGAGCACGTGAAACGAATACCCCGAATAGCTTTCGAACATAGCACCTTTCCTACAGAGCAGAGGAAGCATAATGATAAAATGCACAGGAAGAGTCTTCTACTTAGAAAAAGGAAAGCCCCGCAAATTAAGGAAAGCGAAAAACATCTGCGGCGAAGTCCATGGTGCCACAGCTTGCACTTGAATGGATATCATTTGGGAAAAGGTCACTGCTGGAGTTTGTCACACTCTTGATGTAACTCCCCAACAAAAATATAGCCTTGGTCATGGTTATCGAAATCAGTGCATGTCCAGGCATGCATGCATGCACACGCGCGTGCGTGCACACACACACACACACACACACGGTCTTGGTTGTGCTCGCCTTCCCCTCCTTAGGTATTTCTAGAACTTAGAACCTTCCAAGTTGGAAAGCTGTTGGATGGCGTATTCAAGATGTGCTAGAGCTGTTAGCCAGTTAGTTGTAGAACGTCAGTACCGTCGGTCAGTGTCGTGCAATGTTATCGCATGAGCTGATGGTGAAGTAACATGTTGGTGTTAGTGGACATCAGGGACCTTTCGCACCCCGCGTACGGATACGAAACGAATGCTGATTCGTCACCTGGGTTCGAGGATTCGTCAGAGTCCCTACGGAGAACTCGTTTTCACGAATGGAAGCCTCTTCATTCGTGGCACGCTCCGAATCCGTCACATTTATTTGATAGGTACACATGTTTTGCAAGGTGCACATTTTTCCCTTGATTCCATGATCCATGCACGTGTGCGTGTAAAAACTCGCACGCCAAGCTACCGGCGCCCGCGGCCGTATTCGTAGTTGCCATGCACATTTGCATGACGACTTGCGAAACCTGAAATCTGTTTTCAACGAAACGATTACGAGCCGAATCAAACTTTCGTTTCGCATTCACTAGTAGGACCCTTCTTCACTATGAAAATAAATAATACTGAGGTGGTGACAAAGATAGGTGGAAAAGTAGACGCATGACGTGTAAACTAGCGCAACCTATTCCTGTGTACCTCTCCTTCTCATTGTGACATGCACGCACGCACGCACCCACATACATACACACATTGTCATTAGGTTTAGGCCTGTTTTGGAACTCCACTTTAAATAAAGCCAAACAACAACAACAACAACCTCAGACATGCCCATCGCGGAAGCGATGATAGCGAACAGCTATGTTAGACATAGCAACAAGGGTGGGATTACACCATTCAATAGCTTGCAAGGCTGATGAATTGACCGCCACTAATCGTTAGCCCGGTATCCACCACACAGCTGATTGAAGTGACAGTTTGTGGTCAGTGAATCCCTATTTTCATTTTTCATTTTTTTCTTCACACGCACACACACACACACACGGCTAACAGGCCACGTTTTAGCACTCTACAGCCGCAAAGGAGGGTTCCCCTAGCACTTATTAGACAACCCCACTCCAGCTCCAAAAAATACTTCTCATGGATTTTTCGGTATTGTCTGTACGGCAGGGAGTTGTATATACGACTCCCTGGTCTGTACATCGTACTGCGTAGGTAGCCAAAGCAAAAAGGAAGCCATTGCCCTTGAAAAATCACGAAATCCAGAGTACAAACCTGCTGCTGCATGTTCTAGCGCCAGCCGCTGTGTAAAACGTATGTCATGTCCTGCGAAAGTGCGCCGCGCCGTGTGCACTTAGGCTGTGTTCACATGAGAAATTTCAACCCGGGTCGAGTTCAGCCCGGGTTGAAAGTCTGTACGATAGACAAAAGAGGTGAGCGTTTACATGAAGACAGTTGACCCGGGTCAAATACTGATATGCCGCCAAAAGTCCACTTCTACAGTCCTGTATGGTCACGTGAATCCGTTCGCGCGAAATTTGCATCTGCAGTGCCGTTCAAACCTGGCGCGAGATACGCACAGAAGTACGTTTGTACGATTTTCTTGACCCGGGTTGATTTCAACCCTCCCCCCAATGAAATCAACCCGGGGCGAAATTTCAACCCGGGTCAAGCGCAATGCGTCATGTAAACGCGCCATTCATTTTGTGTGCATGGCGGGTTGAAATCTGACCCGGGTCGAACTCAACCCGGGTTGAAACGCTTCATGTAAACACAGCCTATATATATAGCTGTGTTCACAACTGGCGCGTGTACGCTTGAAACCACGCGTTCATGCGTATTTTTGCTGGCTTTTGGGGCGCCATGCGTACGGAAACGCGCCGAAATGGAAATTCCAACATGTTGGAATTTTCAGCACGTATCAGGCGCGTACCAGCGTACATGCCAGCCACTTTGATTGGCGGGGTCAAAAAATTAGTACTCGAAGGTGTCGCACGCGCTAAACAAGACTCGGATTGCTGTTTTTTGTGAAAGCTTGGGCGCGCGTATAGGCACGCATGAACCGCAAGCGTACCGCGTTAAGTACCGCCAGAGCGCCCCGTCTCGCGAGAGCGCCCTGCCTTGATTTTACAGCCAGAGGAAGGAAAATCGTATGGCAGAGTGCAACGAAGTTTGTAAGATGTAAGACTCTTCGTGTACTAAGGTCACACTTTGCAGGTTTTGCGTGGAGCTTGTGTCCGCTCGAAGGTACGGATTGACTGTAAAACGTGCAATATGTGTACAAGGACAAGGTTCATGTCGTATTACCTACAGACAGCAGACCACCTCCACAATACGACCACGACAGGATGAGATGGTGTTTGGTGGGGCGCTCTGGCGCTACTTCACGGTAGTTGTTTTTGGAGAGAGAAGAAGATCCTTTTTTAATTTTGTTCGGTGGGATTAAAAGATCTGCTAGTGGACCAGAGAGCTACAACTCTGGAAGCAGAAGAAAGGGCTTGCGGAATCTTCTCTGTCTTAGTGGCAACGGGACTTTAGTCACAGTTGCGAGAGACTTTCGTCCTGTCGTCGCAGACGCAATTCTTGTTGCTGCTACCAGAAAGCTTGGAGAACGAAACGATCGTAAGGCTGTGTTTACATGAGAAATTTCAACCCGGGTCGAGTTCAGCCCGGGTTGAAAGTCTGTACGATAGACAAAAGAGGTGAGCGTTTCCATGAAGACAGTTGACCCGGGTCAAATACTGATATGCCGCCAAAAGTCCACTTCTACAGTCCTGTATGGTCACGTGAATCCGTTCGCGCGAAATTTGCATCTGCAGTGCCGTTCAAACCTGGCGCGAGATACGCACAGAAGTACGTTTGTACGATTTTCTTGACCCGGGTTGATTTCAACCCTCCCCTTGGGGGGAGGGTTGAAATCAACCCGGGGCGAAATTTTAACCCGGGTCAAGCGCAATGTGTCATGTAAACGCTCAATTCATTTTATGCACATGGCGGGTTGAAATCTGACCCGGGTCGAACTCAACCCGGGTTGAAACGCCTCATGTAAACACCGCCTAAGTCGTTTGGTGAAGCGGGTTGTGTCGGTGAACAACTGCAGAATATTCTGCCGCCATGGAGTAGCAGTCCAAACACTTTTCAACTTCGGAGGATGAAGCGTTTCCCTATTCCGTTGACAAGCGCGGCGTTCGCGGGTGTAATGCATTTTTGCATCAGCTTGCAGTAGATCGTCAGGAGCCAGAGGTAGATCTACCAGGTAGGTGTCGTTGTGGAAAGAATATTATTATGTTGTAGCTGACAAGTGACATGCCTGTAGTGTCTCTTGACCGTGCTGATCACCATTGTAACATGGTACGTCTTGGAAAATTTTAGTTCTGGACCCAGTGATCGCCGCCTTCGGTGTTTCCGTCAAGTTTGCAGTGAATGCGTCCGTGAGGAATCCATCGTCTTGTTGTATCTACCCATGACTCCAACCGCCTATCACAATGGATAGCCGCCTGGAGTCTTGGGCGATAGCTAGCTGCTAGGCATCAAGTCTGAACCAAATAAACAAACAAACCAAGTCTGAACCAAATAATTGTACGCTCCTTGCAATGAAAGCTGCGATGTTTTGTACAAGTCCGAAGTTCCTTGATTTTTTATTGCTTTTTTGGATGAATTGGGTGGACCATCCTGAACGAAAAGTGGTACGACCATGGTCGTAGTGATCGTATTATGTGTGACGCCCCTGCACACACACACCTTGATCTTGAAATGTGAGAAATACGGTAAAGCAAAATCGAAGAAGAAAACACATGGAAACGAGTAATGAAGCAACTATCCACGAATGTAACAAGATAATAAATGGTCAGTATGTTCGCACGTACTGACCGCTTAGGGGGAGCCCCTTTAAACTCACCATAACCTTTTAGAAGTAATGCCCAATTTTCTTCAGTTGTAGGTCGAGCTGAAATGCACAGGATATAAAAATGACAATATCACTGCATACCCCATGTTCCCTAGTTAACTAGAGTCTTAATTAGTAATTACTACAGGAGAGTGTCTGGCCGTATTTAAAACATCGAATGGAATACCAGGACTAAGAGTGGTGGCTCTTAAAATACAAAGATGCTGAAATTCGATTCACGTCCACAGAATAGAGGTGCTTCTGATATATCACCGTTGAGGAAGATTCGGCCAGTGAGTCCGGCGAGTGTGAGAGTGAAAGCAATTGTATGAGGAAGAGTGAGCCCGGGCATGTGTTTGGTACAGTCAGACCTCGCTTATCTTTTATCCGGATCCCTCGCCATCCGGAAGAAAATTGTTGGTTACCGATTTACCGCATTGGCCATGCATACATACGGTATGTGTGTTCGATTATCCGGTTCCCTCGCCTATCCGGATATTTTTGTGGAAAACGGATGTGTGCGTTTATGCGAGGTCTGACTCTAGTAGGAATCCATCTGTAATTCAGAATTAGGCACTAACTGGGCTATTTGAAAAAATAATTTTAACTATCTGCCTCTCTCTAAACTGCGCTCTTGGCTCACATTCACCATAGCATAGCGAGAAAGGTCGTTCTTGGAGAGATGCTCCATATCCCCTTGAGAGCTGTTGGCAAAATTATTATTATTATTTCATTCATAAATTGATTACAGTACTGTATGCCCTGCAATCTATGCCTATACCATGTGTATGGCCTCTAATGAGCATGGCAGTAGATCTTGGAAGGCCAAGTCAGCAGATTGAATCATACATGTAGGTGCTATAGGCTTGAAAAGCGAAAGAGATTATCAGCTGCCTGATTCTCTTTGTTGTCCTTCGTTGGTTGTTTCGCGTTTCCCTATTTGCATCCTCAAAATTATCTTTCGTGGCTGGCGATTCATCTGCATCACATGGATTTATCTCCGACGCGGCACTCTGTGCAAAATGGCTTCAAAAAAAAGAAAAGTGAAGAAAGAGGCATGTCTATGGGTTGCGAACACCTACCATACATGCAAAACGAGAGAGCTTGGAAGCTCAGGGCCCTACGCTATGCTTTTTTGCCTTGAACTAGACAAAAAAGCATAGAAATCAATGGTTATAAATTCTTATAAATTTCTCCTTTTTTTAAAGACATAACCTGGGATTCGAACCCGCTGTATCGCCCTGCATGCATCCCCCGATATACTTCGCATACATACTAATTCTTCCAAGTTGCTTCACGTTATGATCTTGCATATGAAAGCCCTATTTAAATATGCATTGTGGCCAGCCGTCTTTGATTGTACGGTACGGGACAGTTACGGTCGAGGGTAATACGACACCGTCTACCGCCTTGATGACCTAGGCAAAAAAAGCATAAGGATGTTATAATTTTTTCAATTCTCCTATTTTTTTCAGGCATAACCTTGGATTCGAACCCGCACTATCGCCCTACATTCATACCAAATTAAAGCTGTGTGGACCCCGGCTAGCGCCAGACGTTACTGAAGTAACGTCTTCTGCATAGCTACAGGAATAAAAAATAAAATAAAATACATCCTGTCCGCCCCGATATTTCGGTGACAGCTCTACCTGCACTACTATAAGAGACTGTGCTAGTATTGGAGAGTGTGCATTTATTTTTAAATTCTCCACTATCAAGCCAAATTCAGTCTATATAGTAGGCTCCCGCGGATTATGCTCGCGAAATAATGGAATTGTGCTTTCATGGATTTTCGCATCCAATATTAATACAAACACCAAATTAAAGCTGTGTGAACCCTGGCTAGCGCCAAACGTTACTGAAGTAACGTCTTCTGCATAGCTACGGGAATAAACGGTCAATACGTTCGCACGTACTGGCCGCTTAGGGGTAGCCCCTTTAAACTCACGTGTTGCTCGTTCCGGTGTTTTTAGACCTGAAATGCACAGGATATAAAAATGACAATATCACTGCATACCCCATGCTCCCTAGTTAACTAGAGTCTTTTAACAACTACAGGAGAGTGTCTGGCAGTATTTAAAACATCGAATGGAATACCAGCACTCAAGAGTGGTGGCTCTTAAAATACAAAAATGCTGAAATTCGATTCACGTCAACAGAATAACAGTAAGAGATGCTTCTGATATATCACCGTCGAGGAAGATTCGACCAGTGAGTCCTGTGAGTGTGAGAGTGAAAGCAATTGCGTGAGTAAGAGTGAGCGCGGGCATGTGTTTGGATCTCCAGAGATACTGTAATTTCACAAATTTTCGGTGTACTTTTATTTTCGGTACTTTCGGTGCGTTTGTTTCATACCTAAAATTTCAACACACCGAACAAACACTAACACACGTAATCCAATAGGGAACTGCTTCTCTGTACCGAAAATTTCTGTTCACCTAACCTAGCCTGTTGCACTCAGACCGAAAATATTGAGCACCGAAAATTTCTGAAATTAGAGTACTCCGCTGCCTGCCACAGTCCGCAGCAAGAAGTGCCAGGTGAAAGTGTCGATGTTTCGCTCACGCGAGAGGCAAGTTCCATGCTGCGCCAGCTCTCGGATTCAGGTGACACACGGATCAACTCGGTTTTATATGGATTTACTTTGAAAGATATTGAGCTCAGCTTTCCAGCGATATAAAGTTCTTTGCGATAGGAGAAAGATTGACAAAGAGGCGACGAAGTGAACACGAAATTCACGGCACTGAGCGATTGTGAATTTTTTTTCATGGGTTTACAGTTTTCGGTTGCGTGCCAGGGGATTTCCCTTTGGCACAGCGCATGCGTAATGGACACCAGCGGAAGCACGTGGATCTCAGCTTTGCAGTGCAGTTTGAATCATGAAATTCGGCTGACCTGGAGCAAGAAACCGAAAAAGAATGTGAGATCGTGTTCCTGTGCCTTCCGAGGCATCATGATGTAGTAGGTTCAAGAGGACGTAGAAGTTGCACCGCTGTGCATACTGAGTTGAGAGCCACCAGGATGGATTCGCTTGGTCCTGATCTTTCTAACAAGCCCAGGATGAGGAAAATCCATCAAGGTAAACTGAATCGGAAGAAAAAATTGTTCGGACCTGTGATCGAAAACGACACCAGGAGAGCCAGTGCGCTGGAAAGTCAGTTTGCTGGAGTAAAAGGCATTCTTCTTGGTGGCTTCACTATAATTTTGTCATCGTCACCTTTCTAGTTTATCCTCCAGGCACTTGGGACGTCCAGGTAGACGTTGTCAGTCGCCATGGAGGCGTTTGCGCTCTGGACAACTCAAGCGCTCCAAAGAGAGCGAAACAAAGAATTTCTTGGCGGAACGATCCCGTCACAAATTCTTGAGGGAGCGTCAGAGGCTAGAATATTAATTTTGGCAGCAGGTTCTCATTTTATTCTCCCCCCCCCCCCCCCTGCATAGAGGTGACATAACTGACATTATTTTTTGGCACTACACATTGGCTATAGAGTAGTACTAGTTCCACAAAACCTCGCCCACGGGGTGCCCGGCCCGGTAGACCGAGGTGCGGGTAACTTCGGGGTCCGGAGAAGACTCGGAGGTACGAGTGCATGTGCTGTGCAAGCTTATTTGGCTAGACATCATGTAAACACTTTATATTTTGCATCTGATTTTGCATCTGATAAACTCGCGGAAGCAAAATTCTCCGAAGCATCAAAGTTAATTATGATAATGTGCATGGAATATTCGCATCTATGATGTATTTATCACGATCGTCTTTTTAAACTCACCCAAAGCACTTAGAAGTGGTTCGAAAACATCTGCAGTTGATGCTCCAGCTGAAATGCACAGGACATAAAAATGACAATATCACTGCATACCCCCATGTTCCCTAGTTAACTAGAGCCTTACCGTATAGGCGTGAATAGAAGCCGCGGGGCTCTATTCTTCCAGAAGACACATCGAGGGGGGGGGTTATATTTGAGAGAGGGCTTTATTTTTTTTATAGAAACGCCAATTGTTTCACACTATTCATGTTGATCACTACATGCAGTGACTACACTCGATCGTTGTACGGTAAAGTACCCGGAACTGCACTGCGTGGTACCGACATTACGCACTCCATTATAGCCCCGGGCCTTTATACGAGACGGGGCTTTATTATTCCGATTCCGTCTGACACACGGCCTCTATTTGGGAGGGGGCTGTATTCGAAGTGGGGCTTATATTCGAGCGCGTACGGTAATTACTACAGGAGATTGTCTGGCAGTATTTAAAACATCGAATGGCCCGGGAATACCAGGACTCAATACAAAAATGCTGAAATTCGATTCACGTCGACAGAATAGAGGTGCTTCTGATATATCACTGTCGAGGAAGATTCGGCCAGTGAGTCCGGCGAGTGTGAGAGTGAAAGCAATTGTGTGAGGAAGAGTGAGCCCGGGCATGTGTTTGGTACAGTCAGACCTCGCTTATCTGGTCCTCTTTTATCCGGATCCCTCGCCATCCGGAAGAAAATTGTTGGTTACCGATTTACAGCATTTGCCATGCATACACACAGTGTGTGTGTTCGATTATCCGGTTCCCTCGCCTATCTGGATATTTGTGTGGAAAACGGATGTGTGTGTTTATGCGAGGTCTGACTCTAGTAGGAATCCATCTGTTACTCAGAATTAGGCACTAGCTGGGCTATTTGAAAAATAATTTGAACTATCCGCCTCTCTAAACTGCGCTCTTGGCTCACATTCACCATAGCATAGCGAGAAAGGTCGTTCTTGGAGAGATGCTCCATATCCCCGTGAGAGCTCCTCAGTGGAGGTAGATATATCAAATCATTAGCAGATAACGGAATTGTAACATGGAAAAAATGTGGGTACAAGTTATGCCATATGCTGTTGTCCTGCTAGAGATGTCGAACTGTGCTTCCAGGTATGAAGCTTTCCACTGCCTCGACCACTTCCCCATTGCAGCTGAAAGAATCTCCCGTATCATCATTGACCACCATAAGGCCAAGTAAACAAATTTGATGGTTTATCGTCCGCGCTCGTCCCGATTTTTCGCCCTCCCGGCCGAATTATTTTATTTTTTAGTTCCGGTAAATAATGTCCGCGCTGCGTGCTCAGAGCGCTGTTGTATTTCTCTTCTTCTGTTAGTTCTTTCTCTTCTGTCTGTCAGCGCTTACTGTCACCCAGCGCTGGGTGCAAGCACCCCCTGGCAGATTCATACTACATTGTTTTACTTGATAAATTTATTGTTCTCTCAAACTTATTCCTTCGTTGTGTTCGAACTGTTTTTGAATTATTTTCGTTTCTTTCTTGCCATGTGCCAGCTGCCAAAGTGTACAGTCGCAGCAGCGCCATTTTTATGTCATCATTGATCATGTGATCACGCGCGATCGTTGCTAGCGCTAGATCCGGGGATCTGGTAGTGGTACGCATGCATACGTGTTGCGTGACTTGCCTGCGATAGTTTTCTGTGATCTGCTGTTTGCACTGGAATCGCACTTGTACTTTGACCTCTTCACACTTCTCTTTTTGGCAATGCGTGTCGTGAACTTCTCCGCGAACGTTTTCGCTGATGCCGCTCGGGGTTCTCACGCATGGTGCGGCGCAGCACGGAATTTTGCGCTTGTTTTTTTTCTTGTATCCTTTTCTGGTTTCCTAGCACCTTTTCGGGACTGTTCCTCTGGACAAGAGGTAGCCTTGTCTTGGTGGCTTTCTTGTAAATGGTCGAGTTTTTTTTCTTTGGTGCTCATAGAGTTTGCTTCATCTCTCTTGTATTATTATCAAATTTACACTATCGTCATACACTAGGCACAGTTTTGGAGTGTTGGGCGAAATCACAGTACTGTATGTACTACGATCTTGCACAATGGCAGCGGACCGACAGGCATGGTGTGGAGCCCGCCCCACCTAACAGGACTGATTCTCGTGATCCACGTGATTCCGCCAGACATGTTGTATGCATATTCTATTTTTATTTTATACTCTGGATGAAGTTTTCCATTTGTCCTATTGGTATTGTTGCTAACGGCTTTTGTTGACGTCACTTCTGTCATTTCATTGTATCGTATTACTCTTCAGACATCTATCCTGAATGGCATAAGCGAAAGTGGTACCCCGCCGCCTACGCGGACATGCTTTTAATAATAATAATAATACTCAAGTAATAATCAAAAGGGTTTGCTCCCCACACCGGAGCTGGTGCTCTTCAGGCACAATCTTCCTCAGCCTACTCAAGCTCAACTGATGAGGGGTGAATTCCCCGAAACACTGTGTATTGAGCAGGGAGTGGTGCTTTCTTGCAGGTTTGCCGAGTCGAAGGTTCGATGGACTTCTCGTGTGCTCTGGATGGCAGTCGTGAGTCAGTCAAGTGTCAAGTCGGCGGAATAGCGCGAGCTCCGGTGTGGAGAGCAAACCCTTTCTTGCAAGTCATCGCCGAAGTCACAACCACTACTTAATAATAATAATCAACGCAGTAAATAGAGTAAGCTGCGCACTCAGTACAAACACCATTAGCAAAACTTGTTTTCATGTAAATAACGAAGCTTGTTCCTAAACGTTTTCGTCGCCATCTCATCAGAGGATTACTGGCAAATCAACATTAGCTCTAAACTCAATATATATACGCACAATGCAAGTACTAATTTAGACCCTAACTAGCGCGGGAAAATGAGAGCTGAAAGAAACATTACATCAATCAAGGATATCAGGTGACAACAGATGCGATAAATTCACCACTAGAAAGTAACCATGCAACCACAAACGAGAACTACTGATCTAAATTCACAAACAATTTCAACGTAAACAAATTCTTTTTCTGCCTACACAAAATCGGCTTGGTGGTAAAAATGTAGATAGACACGCAGATACCTTTGACTACGTGAACGAGACCAAACAGAAAAGCAATCATCAGTATAACTAGAACGACAATCACTATTCTGAACAAGATGGTTAGCAACAGAAGATTCATACACCCTAACATCACTACTAGAACCAGTACATACTTTGGAATTACGTGACAATGAAACCGACAAAGGGAGCATCATCGCAACAGGCGGTGCCAGTAACGGACGTGCCTTTGGTACTGACATCTACATCGGCCTCGTCTGGATTGGCAGTAGCGGCAAGGAATGTCAGGTCGGTTTCATTGTCACGTAATTCCAAAATATGTACTGGTTCTAGTAGTGGTGTTAGGGTGTATGAATCGGTCTCCTGCAGCATAGCTACGGGAATAAACGGTCAATACGTTCGCACGTACTGACCGCTTAGGGGGAGCCCCTTTAAACTCACCCCGAAT